GCCCCCCCCCCCCCCCCCCCCCAGCCAGTCTTGTCTTGTTCCCCTCTGTTCTTTTGGTCACTACCATCTAGCCATGCTGGAGGCCTGCATAGTGGCTCAAGGAGGTCAAATCTTTTGCTATCTTAGTCAGCCTGTTCCCTTTGCTTGTTCTATACCCTGTCTCCTTCACATCAGCATTGTAATTAGAGAGGCCCTCCTGACCACCCTTGCCCCACTTACTTGCCCAGTACTCTGTTCCTTAGTTTCACTGTAGGAGATGCCACAGAGTTAATTCTCTTTGCCTTTTGTTGTTTACCAGTCTGTTTCCTGCCTCTCGCCCTGGTTGTAAACTCTAGGTAGGAATTGTTCCTGGTATGCTCATCATTGTGTACTCAGCTCATGGCACAATGGATACTCAGTCAGTGCCTGAGTGAATGAATGAATGAGGTGCCCAGTGCATTTAAGGTTTATTGCAATGAAAATAGAAGATTAATTGCTTTATTTATGGCAAACAAATTTGGTCTTCAGATTCTTTACTATATATTCCTACATTTTGATATTCATCCACAGTAGGATGGAGAAGGGTGGAAAAATGGAACTTTCAACAGTTTTGTTCATTTTGTTTACAGGTAGATATAAAAATTTCAAGGGAAAGGTGCAGTGTGAAATGATGTGCCAAGGTTTTATTTATCTCAGGAATTGGATTTTTTTTTTTTTTTTTTCCAAAAAGATGACCGGTAAGGGGATCTCAACCCTTGACTTGGTGTTGTCAGCACCTCGCTCTCAGAAGTGAGCAACCGGCCATCCCTATATAGGGATCCGAACCTGTAGCCTTGGTGTTATCAGCACCGCACTCTTCCAAGTGAGCCATGGGCCGGCCCTTCAGGAATAGGGTTTTACAAAAGGAATGCTCCTAGATCCAAAGTTTAGTGTACATTATGGTAATTTATTATGTATCTTTTAAATCATATAAGCCCTTGGTTTTCCTAATACTGCTATGACAGTTGACTTGCCTTGAACCAGCAGGTTCACAATTGTTGCTATATTAAGGTTATCTTAATATCATCTCCTCTCAACACAATCGAGCAGTTGAGTTTTACCCCGAAGTTAAATATTCTCTTTCTCTCTTTTTTTTTTTTTTCGTGGCTGTCTCAGTGAGGGATCCAAACATTGACTTCGGAGTTATGTACACTGAGCTCTGACCAACTGAGCTACCTGGCCAGCCCTGAAATTAAATATTTTTAAAGTGTGTTCGCAGTGAGAAAAGAGCCATGTATTCTTAAAGAATTTTCATGCTCTTGGGCATTATGCTATGAGTAACTCACTCTTACACAGCTGAAATCTGGACACTTTTACCTTGAAGCAAGCACTGTTATAAACCTTGGTTTATCATGAGAGAACACCATTTCATGAATAGTTCGGGAGAGCAAGAAGACAAGTGTCCTTTGAAAACACTTTTGTTAATTCAGTTAATATTTGTCCCTTTTCTGAGGCTCCCTAAGCCTGCCAAACAGAATTTCCTGCATTTTACTAAAGTGACTTACTTAGTGATTCTGAGGTGGAAAAATGATGTATGTGCTTTCAGTTATATGTAAATTTGCACATTCGAACTGCCTTGTTAGGATTATATTAAGGTTGTCATTAATGAAAATTCCTCTCCTTTAAAATAGAATTGGAATTTTATTTTATTTACCCCATTTATGCATTTTCCCCAAGTTTGGTTAGCTGATTAGATNCTTTATAACACCAAGGTCACAGGTTCAGCCCCCCATACTGGCCAGCTGCCCAAAACAAACAAACAAACACAAAACTACCATTAATTGAATTCTGTTAATGCTTTTGGTATCATTATCTAAGAAACCATTGCTCAATCCAAGGTCACAAAAATTTATTTGTTCTCTTAAAAATATTTTAGTTTTGGTCCTTACATTTAGATCTTTATCCATTTTGAGTTCATTTTTGCCACCATCCACTCTTGCCCACTTCAACTGATTTTCCACACAAAGCTAGAATGATCTTAAAACTCAAATCAGGTTGTATTCCCCTTCTTAAATCCTTCAGTGGCTTCCTATCATCCAAAGAATAAAATCTAAACTCTGGCTTGTAAGGCAGGTATCCATGTGATCTGTGTGTGTCCCCCCGCCCCCC